AAATTTCAATATTAATACTGGCTATAGTTATAAACAATTGATTTTTCCAATTCCTCTTTCATGTACCCTGTTTTCGCACCAGAGGTAAGATTTAAGCATAACTAATAATAAACATATCTATCTTGTAGAAAATTTTAGTTTCATTTTGGTTTTATAGAGCAAATTCTTCCCTAAAGTATATAGCTTTCAAGATAATCGATAAAATGTTGTGAAAAGCATGGTTTGCATTCCTATGAAGAGAGATTCGCATTTGTTGGCAAGATTACCTTTCCACTACTATCCCAGTCGTAGATGATCGAACAACAAAAGGCTAACGTACAAAATCAGTTTACAATTTTCACCAAAAGCAACGACAACCACAACGTATAAAAAATAAAACTTCAGTAAAATAAATAAAGTCTTTATTCCGACTCGAAATCACAACATTTATATATTAATCACTAAACTATTCACATATTATTTACATGTATTCCTTAAAAATTACCATGTCAACTGCGAGATGAAGAAACGATAAATAAAAGTGTCGTTGAAACAAATACTACACTGTCTCTTACTTTCAAGTCACACACAGGCCGCTGTTTTCTGAAGCCTCATATATGTGCTTTGGGAAAAAGAAGAAAATTTGTTTAAACCTTTAATATTTGGTATTTTTGTGACTTTTTATTAGCCTAAAAATTTCAAGCGTTTAACATTCGCAGTTTCACAATCAAAAACATTTTTTGCCACTATTCACATTTTAATAACTATTTCGACTATTTATTTGTTACTTTTTTATCAGTTGGAATTGACAGAAATATTGTTGATGCCAATGTAGTGTAAAGAATATACTAGAGTCTATAAAACAATCACAATAGAGGTTAAGTTAGGTTAAGGGAGATATTTTTACAATTAATTTGGTATTGGGAGAGACTATGAACTCACTGAGAGACTGTTAACACACAGTACATCAGGAGATGTCAAACAGAAGAAATTCAAGCCAGGGATGTGAAAGTCAAACCTAATACAGTCAGATTTATACACACCATTTTTAACCATCACTAAAGAAAGTGAGCTTGCAAAAGCCTGTAGACAATTGAACTGTGAAGTAGTATCGACGAAAGCCAACGGATCAGCATAAAATCCCTGGCTTGATTGACATTTTCATAATTAAGAATATTGCCTCTAATTTCTTGAGCGTTGAAGGGCTGTTATATGAATTCTGATCATTTCCCAGAACAGTCATGAGCAAAATTTGCATCAACATGTTAATATCTAGGCCCTCGATAATACAGAGTTAGTAAAAAGACTGAAGAGGGTGAATCACTTTCAAGTTAATATAGTGATTAAGTCAAACGCAGAGTATAGCGCGGCTTAGTGTACACGATTGCTTGTGTAAATAACTACTGTAAGTGAAAAAGACCATGTAGAGACATTATTGAATGTAAATACAGTTTTTAGTATTGATTAGTAATAATTTAGAACGGGCCAGAACAGAACTGCTCATAAACTCATCAGATTGCAGTGTAAAAGACTGCTCTTCAGGGGTGTTTTATTAAAAAAAAAATATTTGAGCTAAAAATGCGAAAATACGTATTTTCGTGGCGTGAAAACTCATCTGTAAGTTAATATTTTGGATGGTGCCAAGAGCCCAAATTGAAGTTTAAACATTCTAAAGAGAAATTGGAGCTTATTTTAATATATATTGTTGTTTTTTAATGTTGTGTTAATTATGCGTGTCCACTTAATAATTAACATTAACTGTAATTTTTAATTATATTATATTTATAATTATATTATAACATATACGTACTTACGCGAAAAAATACCAACAAATGAATGGTGGGCCGCAACAATGTTGTAAGCGACAGATTGAGTCAAAGTGAGCTTTTACTGCAATATGGTTGTATATCCAAAGACCAATGTGAGCATCTTTAAATCTGGCTAAAAACATTTTGCCTTTCCTGAGTTTTTCGTACCGCAATGTTAGTATTCGTGCAAAAACTTTGTATGTACGTCATACCTAACGTATATTTTGTTAGGAAACGCATTGTTTTGTAGCCTTATCATTGTCGTTAGTTTTTTTATGATCTGTGCTCGTCCATAATGAGTGTATGATTTGAAATTCCGCATCCTTTGATAATTTCGACAAATTCAAATAAGTATTTTTATATTTTAGGAGCGACTATTTAAGTGCCAATCTGTTTGTGAGGCTCCTAAAATTTAAGGCCAGTTTGGAGATCTATTCACAACATTTTATAGGTTGGATTATAATGCAAAAACTGCACACCTGGTAACTTCAAGAGCCACAACGTAGACATCTCCAGACGACAATGTACTGTACGATACCACATCCAGATTGGACTGAAGAAATTACCAGTGTGCCAAAAAACTATATGTTTTTTGGCACATTTGGAATAACACCTCGAAGAATCCAACGCATTCAGCAGAAGATAAAAACAGATATGCCGCTACGTGATCAACGTGGAAAACACAATAATAGGTCTAATAACATCAACGAACTGACACAGAACGTATAAGAGAACACATAAAGTCGTTTCCATATCAAGAAAACCATTATAGTCGCGCTGCATCTACGAAGAAATGCCTTCCTGCTGAATTAAACTTGAAAAAAATGTACAAATGTTCCCGGCGCACTTACACTGACATATTTCAATCAGACTTTAATCTGCGCTTTGGTCTCCCTCGCTCAGATACGTATAAGTGTTGAAGCTGGATACAAAGCATTGAAGATGTATGCTGAAAAGGCTAATCCACAACTCGTCTTAGTCTTCACTGATCTTCAGCAAATGTTGTACTGTCCAACATTGACTCATTCTTCAGTGTTCTACCAACGTCAGTATGCCACTTACAACTATGATATTCACGATGCAGGTTCAAACGATGCCAATATGATGTTGTGGCATGAATCTATTGGTGTTCGTGGTTCTACAGACATCGCGTCAGTTTTTCTGTGTTACACAAAACTTAACTTTCGTCCATTGAACTTAGGAGAAATAAAAAAACTCACCAGTCTGGTCTAACCCATGCGTCGGCCAGAATAATAACTGGAGAATGTTATCCATGTTTCGTTTGCTGATTATGAATAGATATTTCATTCAAGTAGGACAAAAGTTCTTAACTAGGGGTCACAGCTTATTACCTGGCGACCGTGACTTCTCGCTCATAGAGAGAAAGAAAAAAAGACCAATGGTGAATGTACCCTTCGACTGGGTGGCAGTGATTGCCAACTCACGTCCCAGCAAGCCCTGCAATGTGTACTACATGGAGCAAAAAGACTTCACAGACTTTTCAGCATATGAGAACTACTTATGGAAAGATCCCAAATGACAGCGATGATCCTACAAGAATAATGTCTAGAACTTCTCACAACGCAACCTTGGCAAATATGCTCACTTGAATAAAAAATTGGGTACACAAGCTATCAGAACATTCAACTACCAAATTGATGCGTTGTCGAATGCGTATACCGGGCCTACAAAAATAAAAGAAGAAAAACGCAAAAATCTACTGGATATGTGCCAGTACCTGAAACCCGACTACCGAGAGTTTTATGAAAAATTAGAAGATGGAACATTATTTTTAAGGTTACATTTAAGGAGCATACTTAGCATATAAAACATTAAGAAACATTTTGAATTGATTATAGTTTATTATTATTATTAGATACTTTTTTCAAAACCTAAATAAGCTAAAACATCGCATAGTAATCAGGTGCAACACTGTTATGTATCCAGTATATACAACATTGTTGCTGAGATATTTTTTTGAAATAATTTTGAAATAATAATTTACATATCGAGTTTTCAAGCCTCGAAAATGCATATTTTCTCATTTTTCAGATTTTAATTCTCTTATAACTCCAAGACTGTCCAATTTAACGAAAAATGACGAGAAGAGACAAAAACGTCGGCCCGGTCCCCTTCAGATTTGTTTAAAGGGAAGGGGAACAGTCTCACAACCTGGATTACTAGGGATAAAGCGGAAAAGGGATAAAGGCAAAATGATGACGTTTTTGTGGCATATCTTTGACTTTTATATCTAAACACTGTCTTAAGCTTTGCAGTAGTCAACAAAAATTTGATTTTTTCCCAAAACACAGAATTTAGATTATCCGTTTAAACCTAGTTTTTACTTTTATAATTGTACAAATTTTAATCTAGACATAGTGCACAGATAAACTAACATTATGATTATAATTTTGAGGAAAATTAACGTATTGCACAAAAATCTTAATACACATAGAAAGATTTTTAAAAATTAATAAATACAAAGAAAATTACATGTAACACATCCCTGTCCTATCCAAGAATTTTCGCAAATCTTCAAAAAGGTTGTAGGTAAATATATACTTAAATGGTAAAATTTGTTAATTATTGTATTTACAACAATATTGTTAGTTTTGATTCCATCTATATTTTTCTCTCAACTACAAAAATATTTTGAAAAAATCATAAGCCGTTGAGGATTTATGTACACAGTCAAAATTATTTCAGCGTTACGAAAAATGGATGTGATGAGTTATTTTTTACAGGTATGAGTACGAAATCACCAAAAGCTATCACGATAACGATGGCATCCACAAATACGATTCAAAATCGTTAGTTTTGTAGATCATAGATAGATGAAATCAAACAGAAATAACAAAGCACTTCTTACGATAAAAACCATAATGTCGATTGTCTGTCTGCCGCTCTCATAACAGATTATAATCCAGCATCAAAAGTTAAGTGTGACAAAATTAATGGAAGATTTTATTCCCGGTTCCAGAAAACTAGAAAAGCACATTAGGTACAGTATATAGGAAGAAAAATATAAATATTCTTCCTATTACTAAAAAAATATATTTAAGCGAAGCGGTACATAAATGAGTGAGAAAGTTTGTGCATATTTTCCTCCTACATAAAAGTCGCTTAAATGCGACAACGAAGTCCCACAATTCTCTATAGACGAGTGTAGGATGGAAAATACTCACACAGTGTCTTATGTCCGCTTGACAGCTTATTTTGATCCAAAAACCTTTGGATAAGTTAAAGTTGTTCCGTCATGATAAATTAAATTAATGTTGATCGGTTGCCATAGGTATCGTGATAGTGGTGAGTGCACATCTGTTCTTTGGTTCCTACGCAACAGGAAACCTTCCTAGAACGTAAAAATGAATGTAAAAGCAAAATGCCATATTTTCTATTCACAAAAGGGTTTAAATAATACAACGAACTTTATTTTATTTTACGGTAAATATCTAAAGTTCTTAGTGCTTTCTTTATATTATGGTGACTTGCGCGAAATGACGTATTTTCTCCTCAAATTACCGGACTCTCACGACTGGAGAAATGATCGAAAGCGACCTATAGGTGTTAGAATTATGTGCGATTCAGACAGATTTTCAATTGCAACACAATAGGTCCGCAAAACTATACCAATAATGTGCTGTGTGAAACATGACGTGGAAAGTTTGATGTCACACTAAAATTGTGGCAAAATCAAGTACAATGAACATTTACATGTTAGTTTAAACTAACATCAATATTATAACAAAATAAGACATTTAGCTTTAAATTAACGTAAGTTATGTAACAAAATATACCAAGCAGTCGTCAATTTAAGAGCAATTTAAAGCTTTAAGTTTTACGGCTGTGTCATTGAACAAATTCTCTGCTTCCAATTGGTACATTATTTTTATCCTGGGTCCATAAAACCTGACTTATTGACAGTTCACGCAAGACTTAGTTCAATAATATTACCAGCAGTTTACTATTAATAAATCAGTAAATTTTGCGAAGGTTTGTTTTTTATCGCAAATTTCTTGACTATTAATCACAATTTACCGGTTAAAATTGCTGTACAGAACACTAAAACTATCGAGAACTTATTTTCCAAGATCCCATTACCCTGTGCTGATTCTACTTCTTGTTACGTTATCCAAACTACCTAACCTAACCTGACCACACTAGTCGTTCCTTTTAATCATTTAGTCTACAACATTCGACTGCGTATTATTTCGCAGAAAGAGAAGTCCGGACATAGGGCATTAGATTTATACGTTGGTCCTTCGAGCCGGATATGAACCAGCGACCTATGAAATGACTGCAAATATCTTTGAAGACATCTTATACACATGGTAAAGTTATTTCCACAAAATGTTGCAATTGTTTTTGGCAACGCCGCTTTTCATTTACGATTAAAAGAAAAATAATATGAAAAAAAGTTGTATTAGCGGCCATATATCATTTCAAGAAGACATGCTTAACAAGGAACTTGTACGTACGCTACAAGGACGTACGAAGAACGTTTTTCGCCTCGAGCTACATGACTCATTCGAACTTCTTCGAGTTTGCAAGACATAATTTCACCATAACTGGTGACTTTTTATAGTTTCAGATCACAAGTTCAGAGATTACAGCAAAGTTCACAGATACAGTCGTTTTAGTACTGCCACTTAATGCTATTGAGTTGATATAGGCACACATAAAGAAACATGTAACTTAAAATATTAAAACACTTTATAACCGCCAAAAACTGTGATGTTATGGATCATCTGATTAAAGGAAGGGAAAATGTGGGTCTTAAATATCCTCACCAACGAGACTACAAAACTAATAGTTATTTCCCTAAAGAAGACGATGATGATATACACGGAATTATTGATCTACAAACAAGATCACTTAATAAATTCTAATGAATTTACTATCTTCCTTCCTTTCTTATCATCTTCGGCGAATGTTCATTCTTTAGCACACATTTTAAACAGTTTTAGTCTCTTGTTTTTCAGCTCAAATGTCAAACGCAGAGACACAGATTAGATAAGCTACATTTATGTCACTAGATATGGGGAAATCAATGTCTTAGAGAAAGAAGGACCTTTTAGGTAAGAGTGAGAACGATATATGTCAAATGTCACGTTTAATTTCAAATGTCACGTTTAATGTCAAACGTCACGTATTGTCAAACGCCATGTTTTGTAAAATGTCACGTGTGGACTCATCCATTAAAGTCGAAAACAAGGGAAGAAACAACAAAGACTTTTGCAGATATGTTAAACTATGAATTTTCATACGTATATTATAGATATTATATTAAACGGCGAATTACTGGCGCCAACTAGTGCATAATAGTTGAACCTCAAAAATAATTTGGAAATTTTAGTAGTATTTAGTATAAAGTATTTAGACTTTGCAAAATCATTTGATCGGGTACCAAGAAGAAAATTGATGTATAAACTAGAACACTTTGGCATTCGCGGACAACTTCTTGAGTGGATTAATGATTTTTTAACAAATCGAGAGTTTTGTGTTATAGTTGGCAAATCGCTGTCATCTAAAAAACCAGTCTTAAGTGGTGTGCCAAAAGGATCTGTTTTGGGTTCACTACTATTTGTGTTGTATGCTAGTGATCTTGATTCTCATATCATATCTAGGAAAGCTTTCTACGCAGACGATACAAACTGACCCACTTTTGAATGGACAAGACTTACAAGTGACTTAGATTCGATATTCAAGTGGTGTTCGGATTGGATGTTACCTCTAAATAGAGATAAGTGTGTAGTTTTACATTTTTGAAAAAATAACCCGCGTTTGTCTTATTTGATAGACGGGCATTTACTGGATACTGTGAGATCATATTGTGACCTTGGTGTTAAAATTACTGAAAATTTGAGATGGTTGGAGCATATTTTAAACATCACTAAAAAAGCGAATAGTAAATTATACCTACCTTTTTGACAAAAATACTTTTAGAAAAGACTTTTACAAAAAATTCTTTTCGGGTTCTATTCGTTTGTATAAAACTTATGTCCTACCCCTACTGAAGTACTGTAGAACAGTTTGGTGCCCAGAATTAGTGCGCGATAGAACTCTTCTCGAAAATGTCCAAAAGAAAGCCACCAGACTATCTTTGAAACAAAGAAGGCCAGATTACCCACAAAGACTTTCATTAGCAGGGTTACCAACTTTTGAAGCTCGTCGACTCCGAGGTGACTTAATTATCACCTTCAGAATTTTAAAGTTTGCATATGAAAATCTGTACCACTTGTTTATTTTAGATCATCGCAGCAGACTACGTGGACACAGTTTGAAACTGAAGAAGAAATCCTTTTCATGGACAAGGCGCCAACATTTTGTGTAATCGTATTTTTAGTATATGAAACAGTCTCCCATTATAAATTCTCCATCTATAAATTCTTTTAAAAACCAACTAGAATGTTACATGTTTGTAAACTGAACAATACTGTATACCATTTACTAGTTCATAGTTTATTTGCGCAACTGATTATTTTGTAATGTACTATTTCATTTTTCTTGTAAATGGGCTTATGGGTCTTCATGACCTCAGCCCTTATTATTATGTAATAATAATAATAATAATCAATTAATTTAAAAATGGCGAATTACTGGCGGCGGCCATATTGGACTGGGGATTGGGCCAAAAACTATATCGTTCTCACTCTTACTTACCTAAAAGGTATTTCTCTCCCTTTGATTTCCCTGCACAAACGTAGCATACTTACTCATATGTCTGCTTTGGAATTAAAATTGTAATATTTACTTGTAAAATTAGTAAGATCACTGTGCAATTCTGCTTTTGAGTATTTAATGAGACTACCATGCTGGCAGACATTAAGAAACACGAGTATACGTTATTTACAAAAAGAAAATAAGGAATTAACAATAATTTTCCCATATCTGGATGTTTTTGAGGAATTCGTGACCATACTTGTGTAAATTAATGTACTTCTTATTAAAAAATGTATATTTAATGCACTGAACATCACTTTGCTCAAAAAAATACAGCATTTGCTTAAAACAATTACGATATTAAACAAAATCACTTGCTCTAATCACAAAGTTTGTTAAACACATAAAGGTAATCAATGAGTAACTGTACATATATAGTATTTTGTTAAGATTATTAAATGTGTATTTTTTGAATATCTTCACCCCTAAGCCAATTATAGTGGAATAATACCTGACCTCGTAGAACCACCGGCCGCATTCAGTAAAAAATGAAGCCCTAAGATCACAATTTTGTGGTAAATTTAAGCTCTCTCAGACCTAATAGGAATTTTTATTATTTTGGAAGTGAATGATTCTTACGAAAGGTCAGATATTTAAACAGCTTTCCTAAAAGGATATATAAGGCACAATTTTTGTCAAATTTAAAATCACGAACATTCCACAATAGAAAAAAAATATTTGGACGCATAGTTTTCAATGTACTATTACAGAAATATATCCTTTTAACAATCCTGTTGTTGGAAATCCGCTACACGGGAATTATTATAAATATTTACATCATTTTGCGACAGTAAGTTGTTCTGATATGACAATTTTGTAAATTTGAAATATTCTAGAGAAAAGTTTCTGCAATTTACTTTTGTATAGGGCAACGCATTAGGCAACCAGAAAGAGTAAGCATGATTTTTCTTTGTTTGGAGAACATCAGAAAAGGCAATCTTGAAAATAGAACGGCTGGCATCTTTCCCATTGTTTCTACTAATGGTTAGACATGGTATACAGCGCCTATGTGTGTGCAACATCTAATTTGCATGACAAAATGAATCCTTATAACCAATCGTATTCATGTAAGCGCCATCTACGTATATGACAATTTTAATAAGAGTCTTGCCTTTCCGTTTCATAACTCGTTTCGTAACTCAAATTGCAATTATTTAATGAGTCTAATGTTGAGAAAAATACGTCAAAGTTTAGTGAAAGTACAAACTTTTTAGTACAAACTCATTGCATATTTAATTGCATTGCATGTTTAATAATTCAATAATTATGATATATGAATTGGCTCATTACTCCCCATATAATGGTTATCTAACAAGAATATCAATTAAAATTAAATATAAACATGTCAATAGCAGATGGGACACAATTAATATTCATATAAACACATAGAAATAATGCAAATAAGCAAAATAGCTGTAATTAGAGGTTCACTAAGCCATTTCAAATTATTTACCATTTACTTAAATGAATTAATATGGTGGTATGTATTTCAAAATATTAATGTATTAATTATTTGTATGGAACGATTAAGGTACATCAAAATGTTCACTTACTTCAGTTCTCTTGTAAAAAGTCTAAGGGTAAAAAAACCGCCCCTTTATTGTACAAAGTAAAAATTGGACCTTATTTATTTATATGTGTCTCAGAAAATTATTTCTATACGTGAACATAACAAAAACCCGAACATCTTATTGTCGCAAAAAACGCAAACATTTATGTTGCATACCCGTGTAGTTTGGATTCGTTTAAATCTCATAAACATAATAATCATTTTTGTCACATGAACACATTCATTATAATACGAAAGCGCCATCATAGATGACAGCAAGCAGACAATATTACGTATATTATACAGGACGTCCTCTAAATAATAAAAATACTATTATCAATATTTTTATTGTCGAAACTATACACTAAAATCGTAAAATTTTAATAGTCTTGCACAGTTCGTATGAGATAAGAGTTGATGCACGTCGTAAGAACTTCCACTGTCACCTAAATATGATTAAAAATTTGTGATATAAAGATTTAATTGTAAAAATATTTTTTAAAGAAAAAAAAATCAGGACTATAGACATATATAAGAAGTACTGAGAAAAATACTTCAATCTCCGATTTTCATTCAAACACATATATAATTATTTTACCTGCAGATACGGCAATCAAAAATTATAGTGAGGTGTACGAAATAATCGGGAAATAATTTCACCTAATGAGTTATTGAACACTTCCTACTGGTGATGGAAAATTGTATCAATATAGTAGTTTGCCCTTTGAAACGAATATTATTGCCTCAGAATAGAACATATTAATATTGAATTACCCTCCTTGAAATGTCATCTGTCATTTGTACACAATCTTTGGTGGATTTGCGTTTAATTTGTGATTTTAGAATATGATACACGACTTTTTAACAAATCATTGCTCAACTAATGCTTTTTGAACCATTTTGCATTGTAAAGTTAATGTCTCTTAATTAAACACTCCACTCCAAATTAGAGTTAATAACTCTTAATTTGGAGTGTCTTATTCTTTCTGTATCAACTTAAGTGAAAGTATATTATAAGGCAAACTTGATTGATTTACCAAAGAAGAGTACAAAATAAACAATTGGCCGAATTAGAACGTATCAAATGAAAAAAGCCTAAAAGTGATGCATTTGTGAATATCAAATAAACGATGTATAGACAGGTAATCATGTGAAACATGTTATTTTTGTATTTTGAAAATATCTTTACGTGTGAAAAAATATAACATAACTGAATACTCTCAGTACAATATGTAATATAGTATATATTAATGTTTGTGCTTTGCGCATGTGTTGTAGTCAGATGAATGTGTCGTTTAGCCATGTGACACATAAAATAAGAATAAAATACACAGTAAACATTCACAATGATGTGTTTCTTATGACGTGCAACATGTTTATATCTATCTTGATCAGTAGAACTATCTAAAGTAAAAAAAAAATGAAGTTTCATTTAACCGTTGGTACAACTTAGACCATCTTAATTACAAATCTTACAAAAAAAAATGAACGATCTTGAGAAACGGCCTGTATAAAGATCGATTCCTAAACTTTGTAACCCCTAAAATCTAAAAAATAAACTCATACATACGCGTCGTTAATTTCCTAAACGTCACACTTCGTCACCTCAAAAAAAAACAACTTCTACCTGAGAAAATAAGTAAACGTCGCATAATAAATACTCAAGCATACATTACAAAAGCGGTATGACTGAATTGACTCCTAAGGAAAAACATTTAAATTGGTTCTTGTGTGCGCTGTCCGAAGGAAACGATTCTCGTTTCAAATTTACTAAAACCTCACACATTTTTCAGTTTCCATGACAAAAATCTTATGACATTTGAATTGCTTGTTTCCTTGTACAGTGCGAGCCATTTAGATTAAAAAATCTCCAATCTAAATGTGTCATACTGTATATTGTTGGTGTGTATTTCATATTCTTTGTTTTCTTGTCTATCTTCTGTTTCTCGTAAGTCTTTTTCTAACTTTGAAGACCATTGTGATAGTTTTAGAAACTAAAGTGCAAGCTCACAAAGTTTTATGACATTGCCACCAGATGTTCTACCAAATTAGTGATGTCACTTTTAAATAATGGAATTTGGATATCACATTTTATGATATTCTAAGTATTTCGTGTTCAAATGCAAAATGCTACCTAAGTAAGATATATTTCTATAGTTAATTGATAGTATTAGATAGTATTTTTGCGTAGAGGTTTTTGTAATTTGAAATCTCTTGTACCCAATCAGGTGCTCGATTAAATAATCACATGGGTGTAAGATCTGCTGTAGATAGTTAAACCCAATAAAAAAAGCTTCTTTTACTGAAAATAACCAGTATATTGTTTTACAAAGTGAGGCAGAAAAGTCTAAATTTACTATATTTTCATGGACAATTAAGCAATTAATAGTTGACATTCGGCATGGCATTCCAGTTTGTCGGATGACAGTCGAAGATAGACAGGTGATATTTGACATATGAAGCCACTAGCTGTGGAAAACAGACAATTAACGTTGACAGGTGACGAACCTGTCAAACGTAACGATGACGTTTGATAGGTTATATTTGACATATGACATAGCCCGTGGCTGTGGAAAAGGAACAATTAACGTGGCATTCCACGTTTGACGGATGACAGTTGACGTTTGACAGGTAATATTTAATATATCAAGTCAATGGCTGTGAAAGAGATAATTAACGTTTGACATGATATTCCACGTTTTTCAGATGACAGATGTCATTTGTGAGGTAATATTTGACATACGAAATCATTGGGTGCGTTCAGACGACCTCAGCGGCTGGATAGATGACTAAGCGGTAACGTTCAGACGCCTCCGTTGAATTTACTAGCATATTTTATTTCCGCTTGATGAACTCAGCGGTCGCTTGGGCATGCGTAGTACGCAATAATGATGTACAAATTTTTAAGAAATTTTGATTAAAAATTTTGATTGATCTAAAAAAATTAATTTAAAATGGAATAATGAAAGTACAGTTTGGTATTGAACGAAAATATTTATAGAAATATTTGTGTAAATACTGAGGTTGGATTTGTCGAAACGTCAAACATGAAATGAAATGTCGAGACAAATGCGTTCAGAAGTTTTTGTCTGTTGGATCCAAGACACTTTGTGCCAGTCAGCCGCAGAGGTCGTCTGAACGCACCTACTGAATGTGGAAAAGAGTCATTTGAGGTTTGACATGACATGCCATGCTTTTCGGATGACAGTTGACATTTGACAGGTGATATTTGAAATATGAAGACAGTGGCTGTGGAAAAGAGACAATTGACATAAAATTTCACGTTTGTCAGAGGACATTTAACGTTTGGCAGGTAATATTTGTAGTCAATGTTTGTGGCTTCTAACGTTTTATTCATTAACTGCTTAAGTAATAACTAGGTATTTCAATAAAAGAAGTTTTTTGGGGATAGATCCAACCCATCTGATAATCGATTACATTTCTCATAACCAAACATTGGACGTTTGTTATAAAATGAAATTTTCGGGTAAAAATCATGGTTTTTCTTTATTTTGGTAAAAGCTTTCTTGTGCAACAATACGTGAAGAGTATATGATGAATTAAAATTGTAAAAGGATGCTCAGAATTACTAAAGTAGTGATAGTATTAATTTGTTTATGAATAGATATTTGGTACGGTAAAGTGATGTCGTATAATATATTTTACAATAAAGAAAAACATGTTTTAAAAGATATCTTGTTAAATAAATAAATAAACTACTGTTTAGGACATGAAATATCGATAAGAAGTTATTGGAGAAATGAAAATGTCTTGTTAACAAGATATCTGTACCCACTAATGCCCAGTGTTGGCTTATAAGCATCAACCAAAAATTCTTTACCTTCACTGACTCGTTTCCTTCGAACACACACTCTCCTAGTTGCTGCCTCTAACTCTGCCTTAAAATGTCAGAGTCCCCTTGATCAGCTTCTTCATCGTACTCCCCACCGATGCGTTACCACTTGGTCCCGAAATAGAGTAATTCAATTTAAATAAATAGGGTTGAACGTCCGGAAAACTAGTATCGAAGATCAAGTTGAGCTCGCTCTGGCTAGGCATCTTAGGCAAGTAGTCATGCCTGTTCATTACTTCGGTGATGTAGATAATTTTATCGGTGAGCAGCTCGCCGACCTTTTCCCTACAAACCTGTCGCTCGCCTTCGTTGTTTAAAGTAATTAATTCTAAACGGACAGTCCACACTTCCCACGGTATACATTCGGGTTGGAAGCGCCATCTGTTGGGCTTCTTTTGAAAGAATTCTAAACTGATCTGGCCCATGCCGGAACCTTCGTTGCCCCTAAGTTGTTCCGAGAAACAGGTTATTTCTTTACGGATGGCTTGTTCTAGGGTCGACGACGAACAACATACATAAGTTAAATCGATAAAGTTACAATCTACGTCCGTGTAACCTACAGTACCGACAGAGTAGCTACCTTCGTCGGAGTACGTGAACTTCCCCAACGATCGGTGGAAGAGCACCGTATGAAAGATGCTGGCCACGGCTTCGTCGGCCTGTCTGCCCTCCACGGTCAATTCGAACATTTGAGATCTCGCGTTCATATTGCTAAATTTACAAAAATACAAACTTAAAGCTCAGGAAAAGTTGTGACTTATCACAATAAAGATCACAGATCGTTGCCTGAGAGAAAGAATACGTTAAATGTAAAGGTGCTATTGTTTTTGGTGAAAAATGTATCACTAATTTTTTAACAGTTCGTTTAAAAGAGCACTAAAAGCTTCTGGTTTTCTGGGTGATTGATTTAATTCATACCCATGTAACGTAGCGTGCCGCAAATGGTCTTCGTGGTGGATCCGTAAGACAGCCACTTCGATAGGCCGAAGTCGATTAGCTGAGCGTTGCCGGATGCATCAAGGAGGATGTTCTCAGGTTTCAGGTCTCTGTAGATAACACCGGCGTTGTGTAGAAAATCTAAAAAATTAAACAATTACTTTTTTTTAAGAAATAACAATATACAATAACAGTAATTATACAGCACAGGGTACCAGACCACAATAATGCTTTTTTCCCCGTTCTGAAGAAAAAACGGAGCATAGTAGTGATAGTGCAAACACTCCTGACTACGGCGCAGTAGACGAAATTTGGTTTACAACAGAACTTTTCTGCCTTTTTCAGTCAGAAGTGTTTGCACTATCTTTACGTGAAAAGCAGAAGTCATAGTAAATTATGAAAAGATTTAAGGTCGATTCAAACACATCAGTCCCGTCACAGTCCCGGCGCCGAACCGGTCCTGTCTGGTCACAGAACTATTAATTATCTGACAGCTGGGAAACTGTTCGTCAACTGATGAATGTGAATGCCGGCGGCATATTTCTATTAAAGAAATATTTTGTATGACGGATTGTTCGGTTCTGCGCCGGGACTGTGACAAGACGTGACTGATGTGTTTGAATCGACCTTAATAAGGTTCATTCTGATCGTTTTTGAGCGTTTTGTGGTGGGGGTAGAATAGCTCAAGAAGTAAATAACCTCAAGAAAGAGGGTAGCTCAAGAAGTAAATAACCTTAAAGGTACTAACATATAGGTATGTGAGAGGTTTCACGTGAAAGAATTTAACGAATAGAATTGAATGCTATATAAAAATCAAACATCATGTAATAAAGACAGTAGATACATATCTTCGCGCCTATTGGTTCGATAACACTGAACTAGCAAAGAAAAACTAAACGATCATGGCAAAGGAGCATTGGCATTGCCTAAATAGTTTAAACGAGTGCAAGATGTCACGTGATAAGATTTTGATCACGTTTTCGCGATTTGTTGCTTTCGCCCGTTGCAAAGAAGGCAGGCAAAAGCATGAGGTCACTTCACAGCCGTTAATATAAAAGCATAAGGTTGCTTATGAGTTGCACATCGTATCATCAGATAAGACGGTTACCCGCACACTCAAAACCAAAGATCAGCAAGATGAGATCAACTTGATCAACCAAATATCACGTGGTAGTGTGTTATCACCGACACTATTTATAGTTGCACACTAACTGGACTTAAGTACCTTCAGTAAAATTTACTAAAGAAAAACACTAGGTAGCGGTTCATGTTCTTCTGGGGTCTAGACTAGACCAAAAGTTAAAACTGTTTGGACAAGAGCACAGTATGATATTGCCACAGATATTTAAGAGATATTACGTAAGAATTTCAATCTAAATTGATCACGCAATCTAGAAACACAAAAAAAAATGATTTAATAACTTCCACTGGAGTTTTTTAAGAATAAATACCCGTGTACCATTATCAGAGACAAAAATCTATGGAGACAGACCATACACGATATCACGACTACCACTACACTCCCTCTAGGGAGTCAAGACTGAAGAGAGAGCATTATAACGAAGTAAAATTGTAACTTTTAAAGCTTTACATTATTTAACAGATTCATATTTACATATTTTTAGTTTTCTAATTATATATTTTAAGCCTTCAGCATTTCAGCATTAAGATTTTCATTTTTTTTTTTAGTTTTTATCTGATGCGTTTCGTATTTTATCCCGTAAATATTTACCTTATCTAAGAGCAAGCACAAGTACTAAGTTGATTCTAGAGACAAAATAACGTGGTTTACACATAGCACCAGTTTTTATTGATGAGTAAATGCAAAGAAATTGTTTACCGTAATTTCTGATTTGAAAACGAATTTATTGTTTAATATACATCATGTATATTTTTTTAATTGTCAAAAGTAATCCCCAAGATGAGTCTCAATAGACTGCAGCTTGGAAACTGCTGGCAATATCTCAACAGGTACGTAAGTTGGAGTTGGCAATATCTCAACAATGGAGTCCATCGTAAACCGATAATCTCAACGGAAATAAGAGCTTGTGTGTCAATCATAGCGAACTATGATTGCCTAATATAATCATTGTTTTGAGCCTTCCTGCTCTCGTAAAGCAAAAAAATATTCTCACCTTTTACTAGAAAATATATGGCATTCGAGGCATTCTCGCATAATCCCACGAATGATAGGTTCACACCATTACCCGCTCGAGTAAGTAAACCAAATGCCAGATCCTACAGTTCATCTCGTAATGGGCAGAACTACTATAGCAACGACAAATCAGTAGAGTAAAATTAACTTGTTTCACAATGGTTTAGACCCAAATACCTGTCTATGGGTGAACAATCCAATGTTTGGCGAATTTTGCCTTGCAATGGTAGGGTCAAAAGGGACATCGAACGATAAAAAAGATCAAAAAAATCCAATGCTTGTCCAATTTTGCTTAGCAATGATAGAGTCAAAAGGGACATTGAATGATCAAAAAAATCGATGGGCAGTGCTTTTTCAATATCTATGCATACTAAACATCAGGATCAAGATTTTCTCCTGTCCCAAGTTTCTGTCTTCGCTTAGGTGCTTTTAGAATACCTACCTACGCTATTCTTTGACAAATGTACCGCTACAATCAAACTCGCAATATCACCAAATTAAGTCCAGCAACAATAAAATAAATTTATTTCTGAAGTTTCAATTAACCGTAAACATGAACATGGCAAGAGAAATAACAAAAATATGATATGAAGAAAAGAGAGAAAGAATATATATAAATAAATTATTTTTAATGATTAATATTTACTATAAAATAACTTACCTAGAGCGAGAGCTATCTGAGCAACATATAAACGCACCAATTCTATGGGAAGGGTTATGTAACTCTTAAGCAAGCTGAACAATTCTCCTCCCTCTACAAAATCAGTAACTGGAAAAAATAAATAATTAATGAAGTTGAACCAAACACCAAACACTGCAATGAATATTGTACGATAAGTTTAATAAGTAATAAGTCAAAACCGTTTCTAAAAATCGTACACCACAAATGCCACAACATGCCACACATGCCAAACTCAAAGCAGACATCCGATAAACTTAATTTTGATTCAGAAAAGGTTTGCGAACAAGAGAAGTACTGGTACATACAAATAAATTGACATAACGATGCATGGAAGGAAATCAAGATGCCTATGTATGTTTTATTGATTACAACAAAGCATTCGATGAGGTAAGACATGAGCAACTTCTACAACTTTTTAATAATAACATAGATTCCAAAGGCATACGAATAATTATCAACCTTTATTTTAACCAAAGAGATACAGTAAAAGGCGGTTGAAAACGAAAATATTTGTATAAAAATGAAAGGAATTCTGATCAGTAATAGGAAAGGGGTTTGACTGCAGCTTGGCCAGGTGAATCTGGGCACTGCTTTCTCAAAGCGTACAGCTGCGTACCTAAATGGTTATTACGTTTGGGTGTTAGCATCTCGTGCTTGCTCTCAGAGGGGAGTTTTGTTCCCCTGGCGGTAGACGTCCTTCTTTAGGGACTGTCCGAACAAGGTAAGTATGCGCAAGTCTACTCCGGTGACGTATTTAAATTGGTTGAGGGGCTCACGGAAACATCGCACTAGGTCGCCCAGGTGAGCCCCAGGCTCGTTAAGAAAGGGTTAAAGAGTTAATCCTGAGAAGACTGCTGTTCAATTTTCTCACATGCAAAAAACCATGTCATTTTTTCGCTGTATTATTAACTATCCTTATATCACAATTTTACAATAATTATCTTAGTCCAACCCTTAATAACCCTTCCTAATTACAGTTCAACCCTCTCCCCTACGAAATACAGACAGTTCTAAGCAAAGCAGATAGCAAAGAAGAAACTCACTCTCTTGATGGTCGCCCGTCGCTAAGGACAGACCATTCTAACTCTCTCAGTTTGGCCATCGCTAGAGCCAGACGCCCTCTCTCTTAGTTTGGCCATCGCTAGAGCCAGACTCTCTTTCATTCTATCTCTCTTCGCTTATCAAGAAGAACAGCATCTATCTTGGCTGTTTTTCTATCGTAATTACCTCTTTCCCGCTTTAGTTACGCGAGAAATATCGAAAATACTGTATTAAATCGTGTGCAGACAAAGTGTGCTCTATATCGTGACATATTTGCGAAACACGTGTTCAGAAACCGGTGCATCGGACAGATTTCGCGGGTGAAGAATAACCACGAGTGAAGACCAGGAACAACCGTGAGAGTGTGGAGCAGAAAAAATTTTGTTAAGACTTTCTATAAACTTAATTTGCTATTGTCTGTATACCTTTTACTACTTATCCTAATTTTATTGAACCAGCCCTATATAATACAGTCCACATACACGGAAATTATACTAATAATTTCCCACATATGTACTCCCTTTTTGTATAACTGCTGTGGTTCTATTCACTCGGAGAAGGGCCATCGGACCTACCAGATGGCCTACCTACTCTATGGTACAACTTTATCGGTTTCCAACCTATGAGTGATCCTGGATTGTAAACTTTTATGGAAGCAACACCTCGACGCCAAGGTGAAGAAGGTCGCGGAAGTTTCTGGGCACTCAGAAGAGCTTTCGGAGCAAACGTTACACAAAGGAAATCACGTTATATGTTTAGTAAAATGTTATATTCATTCTATCCTTCTGTATCATCTTCTGCATAATATGGATACATGGACCATGAATAAGTACTGATGCAACAAAATAGAAAAACTCGAACTATGGACTTATAGAAGAAAATTGGAGAATTAGAAAAGAAACCTATTGACGCAGTGGGAATGATATAGCCAATTATATAGAGAAAAAAAAACTAGACTGGCAAAGAAGAACGGAATAAGAACGCTGATAAACAAAATTGCAGAATAGATTCTGATACGAATAGACGGAGACCTCTGTGATCGTTTTACGATGAAGTAGATGAAAGAATGGAAATTAGAAACCTGCAAAACGGAGATTAGCAGGAAGAGAAAAGGGTTAAACCGAAGGGTGCCGGGATGGAATACAGTAAAAACTGGAAATCATCAACAGCTGCAGCAACAACATAACTACATGTACTATATGTGTGTTTGAGCTAAGCATCAGTCATATAATTAATAAAATTTTGCATTGTGGGTTTATTACTTTAGTAGCGACTTGAAGCAGAGAAACAAACCATCTTAAAGTCGAGAATTTACAAATTCTAGTAATTTTACCTAATTTGTGTAAATTGTATTGGAAGAATTAACGAGGAATAAATGTAAAGACTTACCAATAAATAATCTCTTTCGGCTCTGCCAATGGAAAGGACAGTTTACTATGAAGGGATGATGTCCGCAAACCTTCTGGATCTGTACTTCGTCCTTCACTTGCTGCACTGAGTTTTCTTTAATGATCTACAAAACGGACGATTAAAGAATAAACTTCTCGGTTGAAACAATACGAAAACAACAACAATGTAGTATAATCTGTAGATGATATGAAACCGAAATAACACAAACAACAATAATTATGTCATTAGATTGGGTTTATCTAAGAAAATACGCAAACATTTGAGAATTAATAAATAATCAATAATTCGTTATATTTTGGTGTAATTTTTATAAACAAAAAAATATATAATTTGAAAACATATCCTTAAAATATTATTAACTGTCTAAGATTTGGCCATACTGCCAAATAACACACAAATACTTAATATAAAAAAACCACTACCAATCTGCTTCAGCTGCTCAGATCCACTGGCCGTTAAAATTATTTTAAGTATAAAGTTATTATTGCTGGACTAGTGCTGCGTATGAAGAAGCATATTCAAATATGTGTTCCATCTGAAAATTTTCAGCTACCAATGTCAGCTATTTGCATTTAACGCTAAATTAGATATCCAAAAAGCCAACAACATTCAATGGATGCTTACCCAGATAATAACAATACATTTTTGGCAAAGTAACGTACGTCACCAAACACGATTTGTAGAAAAAACAATTTTTTAATTCAACCTGGTTAAAATTATTTAAATTATGACTGAAAAAACTTGTCCTACTTGTTCTAAAAAAGGTTTAAAGTAATTCTACGCTTACTACACTTTGGCAGTACCTTTTTAAGAATAATAGTGTTAGTTAAATTGAAAAACATGGTTTTCGCCAAAAATGTCACTTACGTTACTTTGCCAAAAATGTATCGATAATACAGGCAACTTTGAATTTAAAATTTTGATTTTTTCGGTATTACGGTCTGGTACCAAATTGTGTTTTTAGGTTTTAGAACTTTTTGAATAAAAATTCACATCCTGTATTTTTATGACCAACATTGAAGCATTAAGATTTGATTGACAAAGATTAGAATAACTGAACAAATCTTTTTTTCAGAGCCTATGTCGGTGTCAGCAATGGCAGAACACAAAAAATGCTTGTGAACATTTTTGTTTAAAATTATCTCAGCTACATTTTTTATTTGAAACATTTTTTCTACGGTGTATAGATTCTTGGTAAATCGATTTTTTGCCCTCCGATGGGGGTTTTAGGGGAAAGCCCAAGGGTAAAAGTGGTAAACTTTTGTGCCTCTTTTTGAGGCACCAAAATTAATATGCTCGGCAAAATTTAGCTCGTTCGTATGATTTTTAGAGGTTCAGTGGCATTTTCATCTCTGACGACTGGAGTATCATGTTTATTCATGATATTAATAGAAAAAATCGCTTTTTTAATTTATGTGTTTTAAACTGTTTTCAAAAAATCACACTTCGTAATAATCACATATTTTAATGCAAAAATTGGAACAAAAGAAGAGGGTGACACACAATATATCGGTTGTTTTGGGCTGAACAACAGGAAAGGGGTGAGATGTTGTGCAACTACTTAAACAACGAAAATTTATTTTGTCTCAATACTTTCTTTAAAAAATCTAAACAACGTAAATAGACATGGATCAGCCCAGACAAGAAAACTAAGAACGAAATAGACTACATACTCTCCAATAACAAAAACATATGCACCGACGTGACAGTACTAAACAAATTCTATACCGGAAGTGACCATAGATTGGTTACAGCGAATATTAAAATACAGACGAGAGTAGAACGAAATAAACTTATTAAACGAGAACGATACCCAACCACTGATGTTCTGTTTCAAAAACAAAGCGAATATCAAAAAGAACTAAGCACAAGACTAAAATTAATAGAGACACTAAATGAAATGGATATAAACGGACTAGCCAATAAAATAAAAATAACCTTAACAACATCGGTTAAGAAAATATGCTCAAACACGAAAACAGCCAAAACATCTAAACTCCAACCTAATACAATTAAACTACTCCAAGAAGACGAAACAGAACAGATCGAACTTCGGGCAGCTTCAAAAGTTTAAACAAAAGCGTGAAGAAAGAAATTAGGAACGATCATAGAAACTATAAGAACAATCTAATAAAAGATATAATACAAGATAACTGCAATATGAAAGTACTGAAAGCAAAAACTCAAGTAATTTTACTATTAAAGAAAGGAGACAAAGCAAACATCGAGAATTACCTACCAATATCCTTGCTACCACATCTGTTTAAATTACTAAAATCATAACCAACCGCCTAACACATAAGTTCGATTTCTATCAACCTATCGAGCAGGCTGGATTCAGAAAGCATTTTAGTACCATAGACCGTAAGAACATTGAACAAAAATGCACTGAGTAAAATGTTCCAATTCATATGGCGATCGTCGATTTCCATAAAGCGTTCAATTCCATCGAATTATGGGCAGTGCTTGAATATCTAGAAAAAATGCACGTCTAGATTCAAGATACGCTAACATAATTAAAAACATATGAAAATGCCACCATGCAGATAAAGCTGGACGAAAGCACAAAAACTAATCTCATAAGACTACAACAGGGAGTAAGACAAGGAGACACCATCTCTCCCAAACTATTTACCCTTGCTCTAGAAGACATTTTTAAGAAACCAGAATAGATCAATAACGTCGACGGATCATACTTAAACCACCTGAGATTCGCAGATGACATAGTTTTATTATCTATGTTGTATGTCTCAAATATACACAGAATAATGTTTGAAAACAGTACATTTTTATTATATATTTTTTTGAAATTTATTTTTTATGGAATCTGGTATTTTTTAGTTTATATAAAACACGAACAAATGAATATTTGTTTCTTTCGATATTAGTTGCAGTTAGTTAATACAAAAAAAGTGCAATTGCCCTTTGATGGATTAGCGGATAAATTTGGCAATTAGTAAGAGAACTGTATTGTATGGATCTGAGAAGTGTATTTGCACAGAAATGTAAGAATATTCGAGAAGCTGTTGAAATGGATGCAATCAGAAGATCATTCGGTATTTCAACAAAATATAGAATCAGAAATGACACTATTAAAGAAATGATGGATATTAACGGAACCATTATCGATGGTATAAAGAAAAAACAGTAATAAAATGATACCGACAGAAAAAAGAAAAAGCCAAAAAGAAATTCAAAACATAGTATAGCGGTATAGCTAACAATACATAAAAGTGTAACAAAAAGCAATGTTGTCCCTCTGGCAAAAACACAATACATACAAAAGAAAATCTAATATATATATATATATATATATAAAACTCAACTAAAAAAAGTTTATTGTTGCATCTGAAAATCGTAGACCAATAGAGAAATAAAAACAGCGCTCCCAGATTAAGCAATTGAATCGTTATTTAAAATGGATTTTTCCAGGAAATCTTTTAAGAAACACCAAAAAATCATGAATGGAAAAAAGCACATACATTAAATATAAATTAATAAAAATATGTAGATTAATAACACTACACTTATAATGATATTTATAAATAATTCCAGAATAAACGATAATTGATAGTTCAATCATTAACAAATAAAGATAACAATGAAATTACTATAATTGGCAGTTAAATTATAAATATTTATATTTACCGTAAACCCAGTTTTTTGGAACACGCTATTAAAATAAGGTGTTAAAAGAAGCAATGAACTTGTTGGCCGATGGTACTGACTATACCGGACTTTTGCAGAAGTACTAATAACAAAATTTTTGCTAGTTCATCTATTTAGTAGTGCCCCGTGCACAAAAGGGATGCGTATTTAGGTAAAATATGTAAATGAGTAGAAAGTTAGTCAGGTAGTTGGTTAAGCTGTAAAATTGGAGATTAAAATAAGGAACTATTGAATTCGGGTTGAACGAACCACAATCACGGCGAGTATTTAATACAAAAACGTTAAGAATTCTTAGAAATATGGGTTTGAGCACATTGGATTTTATTACAGGGTTGTTGACTGATAACCCAGCTGTCCGATCTGTAAAAATGGTCATAAAACTGAATTACTATGGAGAGATCATTATTAAAGAGAACCAGTTGTTGAACCAGAAGTACTAGGAAGGACAGGTATAAAGTTTCAAATCAAAAATATTTGTGGTACTTCATCTTAACCCTTAATCGGTGAGGTGAAAAATATTACACAAACGATTTGTACACGAAAAATATTAGTCTGTCAGATTGTCATATTTTGAAAGTCATAAAACGAAATTATAGAAGATTTCTTTACATTACATACTAGATATATGAAAAAAACGAAACCACTTAAAAACCAAACTTAACCTTTCAAGAGAAAACCTCAATAGAGAGAAATAATTTAGAGCATTATATAAGACAGTTAACATCAACAGAAAAGAATTCAAGGAAACCACAAAACAATGCAGTAGTCAGAATAGCGACCTATTATAGTGTATTTTTATGTATGAGAGAGTAATAAAACAATAAATTATGTATGCAAATCCCTAAACTGTTGATACGGGTGACTCAATGAATAAGATGTTTGTCAACAAGTTTACAGAAGTATATAGGAAAACAATTTTAAATTGAGTATGACCACCAGGTATAAAGGTTGGAGCAGAATAGAATACAATAGTTGTGAGGGTTACTAATCCCTAAATAAGGTTGCCAGTGTCGGAGTGATGGAGGTTAACAGGTACTAATGAATTTGCAAGAAATGTTGCAAGATGTTTATTTTATTGGTTATATATAACCAATAAAAGTTTAATAAGTACCTACCTATTTGCAAAATAAAGTTTAATTCTTTAGATAAAATAAAACGTTTTATTTTATCTGACATGAGTGCATTCCACGAAGTAAGGGTTTCAACAATCAAACATTTAATTCTTTAATTCCAGGAATCTACGACAGTAATTGACTAGATAATTACCTTCTAAACTTATTCGACAGAAAATGTGATAGTGGGTTTTTCCATTTTGTAGGAAGGTCCAAGTGGCGTATTCAAAATTCTTAACAGTTCACTAAAAGTAGGTACTTCAGTTGCAAGATGCAGTTTATTGTGTATACTAGTGTTATGGAAAATTTGGAAGTGCCGTGTAAACGCCGAAAAATTGGTCCTTTAACAGTTAATGAAAAAACATTAATATTTAATTGTTTTAAATCATTTACAGACAAACGTTTATGTGGAAGTGTTGATGAGACCGTTGAGTTAGTTAGCAGTACACTTGGTGTTGGGAAATCTACGATTTACAGAGTTATTAAAGAAGAGAAATGTGGTAGTTTTCAAATGCCACGTAATGCTCCAGGGAAACCAAAATTTCAAATAGAATATCATTTTAAAGAAGGACTTCGACAGAAAGTGCATGAATTCTTCTTTAGACAAGAATTTCCAACATTGGATAAAGTTCTTGTCTCAGTTCGAGATGATAAGGATTACCCAGAAATGAGTCGAAGTACGTTATGGAAACTTTTAAAAGAAATAGGCTTCCGCTGGAAAAAGAATCCCAGAAAGTCTATTTTATTAGAAAGAAGCGATATTGTCATATGGAGAAAACATTTTCTAAGAACCATAAAGGAAATGAGAAACCAAAAAAGAAAAATATTTTATCTTGATGAAACATGGATCAACGAGGGTCATACACCAAATAAATTTTGGCAGGATGAAACTGTTACAAGTCAAAGGCACGCTTTTGTAAATAACTTATCTACTGGTTTAAACCCACCATCAGGAAAGGGACGCAGGCTGATAATAGTACACATTGGCAGTTCAGACGGTTTTGTTGAAGGTGGTTTATTAACTTTTGAATCGACTCGTACCGGTGACTACCATGAAGACATGAACGCTGATGTCTTTCAAGAATGGTTCGAACAAATGATAGATCTTCCTAAGAACTGTGTAATAGTAATGGATAATGCAAGTTATCACTCCAGACTTATAGAAGGACTGCCCACAACCAAGTGGTTAAAAAAAGACTTGCAGAATTGGCTGAGTTCAAAAAATATTACGTACCATCCCGGATCTATAAGAAAGGAACTTTATTCGTTGTGTGCCCTTCATAAAGAAAAATTTAAAAAATACGAAATTGATGAAATTGCCAAAAATCCTGGAATGACAGTACTTAGATCCCCACCATATCATTGTGAATTAAACCCGATTGAACTGGTATGGGCACAGATAAAGAGTGAAGTTTCAAGAAAAAATACCACTTTTAACATTCATGATGTTAAACAGTTGTTTTTGGAGGCCGTAAATAATGTAAAACCTGAAAACTGGGAAAAGGCAGTAAATCACACTATTAAAGAAGAAGAAAAAATGTGGAAGCTGGACAATATTAATATATAAATGATCGAGCCAGTTATTATAAATCTTGGTTCTGAAAGTTCATCTTCTGAATCTGATTTGGATTTGTAACAAGTAGCTGTAAGTTTTATATTAATATTTTTATTCATCTATTTAACATACCTTAGACGGTTTTAAAAACTCTTTTTCTCTTTTGTAATTTTTAAAAATTAAAAAAAAATGTGAATTTTTTAAAACCCTTTTTAATATAGGCCAGTCAGTTCTAATATAGTGTGTGATAAAAGAGGTCACTTTTGCTTACATACACATAACACTTTATAACACTGAAATAATTCATTTATTTTTTACAATTATTCAAAGTAATTTTTCAATTAATCTTGAGCACGCCCATGGAGTGGTCGGAGGTACCAGTTAAAATTATGCTAATTACTCTCTCGTTCATAAAAAGAAACTATAACAACGGGGGAAAATGTATTGAATAGATGGGTGGAATACTTAAACCAGGCACTTAATATAGAGGAAGAAGAAAACCTGGAAGACGAAAGAGTTGAGGTAAGGGGAATAGCTAGAGGGAAGAGGAACCACCAACGATTCTTGAAGTTAAAGATGCAGTTAAAAACTTTCCAGAAACAAATCACCCGGAATAGATAATCTCTCAGCTGAACTATATAAAGAAGGTAGCCACGATACCATAATGGCATTACAGCAGCTTATAAAAGAAATATCGACGCAGAAATCCCTCCCCAATGATTGGAATATTGGAATACTTTGCACCATACACAAAAAAGAGCTCTACCACAAGGGAATTATGCTTCTAAATCACATATTTATAGCAGCCTACTAGAAGAGAAATGTTCAAAGCAATGAAAGCGCTAGGAAGACCAAATCAGTTGGTAAATTTAACAAAACTCTTGGAAAAGTTGAATGTACAGTACGAACAAATAATGGGCTGCGCCAGGAAGACCCTCTCTCCTGTATACTGTTCAATCTGGCTCTGGAAAAAGTAATACGTATGTCACAAACCCCAACCATTAGTTCAATATATAATAAATCAGTGCAAATCCTTGCCTATGCTAATGATATCAATATAAATGGGAGAACAGAAAACGCTATACGAGAGGCGTATGTAGCATTAACATAATCAGCAACAAAATTGGCGAAAATTTTGTTCTAATTCACGATAATGCACGACCACACGTTGCAAATATAGTGCAAAATTATCTAGAGGAAGTTGGAATCGACGTTATAGAATGGCCAGCGAATAGTGCCGATGTCAATCCTATAGAAAATGTTTGGGACTTGCTTGGTAGACGTCTACGGAATTTTCCTAATCAACCAAATACTCTACAGGAACTGGAACAACGTCTTGTCCAAATTTGGAATGAACTGGATCAGAATACTTTAAGACCGTTTATTTTAAGTATGAATCATCGATGTCAAGCTGTCAAAAATTAAACAATTTCTATTTTTAGAATTAGAGATTTTGTTGTTACTTGTTTTAAGGTTGTGTTAAGTTTATGCATATTGAAGATGGTTAGCGATAACATTACTAAATATGTTTGTTTTTCAAAGTAACGTAATACGAAATAAAATGCTTTTCATTTCAGTTAATATTTTCCTGTTATATGGTAAGTTTTAAAGTAGTTCGTTAATTTCTTGGAGCAGTGTAGTAGCAAATAGTTCTGATTATCTTAGATCGAATTGCTCTGCTGGTAGATGCTTTTCACCTCTATTTTGACAAACAAACACGACATCAACACAAATAATGAAAAATTGACGACGTTAATAAAAAATAATTGTAAGGTTAACTATTATATTTATACAAACAAACAATATTTCAACTTGCATTTGAATTTTGGCTCCTCATTTTATACAAATTAACTCTAACTGATAATACAGGCAAAAATATTCTAAACAAAGATTATGGAGAACTCCAGTGCAGTTTACCGTGTCTTTTACTGCAACAAAAGGTTTTCTGCAAATTCCATTAATCGTTTAGAGGTGCAAGTTGGTTGAATGTACTGTAAGATTGTATTATCAGAAATGCATCGGTAAATTCCAACTTAGTTATTACAATAATTTGAAACTGAAGAAATAAACCAATTCAAAAATTACTCATCAAAACATTTAAAAAACATAACATCCAGTACACCAACAACTGTTTACTAATAGGCCAACAACTTTTCGTCTAGACCTCGTATAACAAGAATATTCATGCTGCTAATATCGCAAAACAAAAAATTAAAACTTAACATGAATACCTTACCTTTGACTTGGAGAGGACTTTCAAAGCAAATATACGTCCGGATTCCAAGTCTTGTGCTTTGTAAACCTTACCGAACGATCCCTTGTTTACTTCTTCGATTACTTCGAACCTTTTCTCGTTATAGGAAATCGACACGGGAAACTCGGGCAAGAAACAGGATTCCGACTGGGAGACGGGCCAAGCTGTTTTACTCGATTCGTAGGGAAGGGTGAGTGTAGATTCTTTCCACCTGGAATTTAAAAAGAATGGCTTAAAAATACTCATTATCGAATTAGTCAAATAGTTGTAGAGTTTAAGAATGCCGTTAGTAATTTATTATCATTTTAAATATCAAGCTTGTTAATTAAACCCATTTATTGTTATTACCCATTTTGCTACTTCTAAACAACGTATACTAGAGTTAATTTATAAACATGTTTAGGTTCTAAATTTATACAAAAAAACAAAAAAAAAAACAAAAAACAAGAAAACAAAAATCTCCTATGATGATTGAAGTCTTTATTAGACGGTATACCTATCTGAGGAGACAAAAAATACCTTGTCGACCTTGTCTCTCAAGCCACGAGCCGCCACTGGATGGACTTGTGTCACACATGACCTTACGTCTTACTGACTACTATAGAGAAAAACAAATAATCCTGATAAGTTTGTTATTTGAAAGTACACAATTTTAAAACCCAAAATAATTATAATCATTTAGGAAAAGACACCTTTGTTCCTGTCCTTCAAAATGCTTTAAGTTCAATAACAAATGTGGAAGATATTTTCAAAAAATCTTTTAAAGTATGCAGTCTTTGTCCATTTTGCGGGGGACAAGGAAGGAGCCTCCACGAGATCAATAGTGCCACATCAACTTCAAAGTAAACACTATTGACGGCGTTCCCTGGAAACGTAGACGTCTACTATAGTTTATTTTTATGAACGAGAGAGTAATTAGCATAATTTTAACTGGTACCCCCGACCACTACATGGGCGTGCTCAAGATTAATTGAAAAATTACTTTGAATAATTGTAAAAAATAAATGAATTATTTCAGTGTTATAAAGTGTTATGTGTATGTAAACAAAAGTGACCTCTTTTATCACACACTATATTAGAACTGACTGGCCTACATTAAAAAGGGTTTTAAAAAATTCACATTTTTTTTAATTTTTAAAAATTACAAAAGAGAAAAAGAGTTTTTAAAACCGTCTAAGGTATGTTAAAGAGATGAATAAAAATATTAATATAAAACTTACAGCTACTTGTTACAAATCCAAATCAGATTCAGAAGATGAACTTTCAGAACCAAGATTTATAATAACTGGCTCGATCATTTTATCAGTAATATTGTCCAGCTTCCACATTTTTTCCTCTTCTTTAATAGTGTGATTTACTGCCTTTTCCCAGTTTTCAGGTTTTACATTATTTACGGCTTCCAAAAACAACTGTTTAACATCATGAATTTTAAAAGTGGTATTTTTTCTTGAAACTTCACTCTTTATCTGTGCCCATACCAGTTCAATCGGGTTTAATTCACAATGATATGATGGGGATCTAAGTACTGTCATTCCACGATTTTCGGCAATTTCATCAATTTCGTATTTTTAAAATTTTTCTTTATGAAGGGCACACAACGAATAAAGTTCCTTTCTTATAGATCCGGGATGGTACGTAATATTTTTTGAACTCAGCCAATTCTGCAAGTCTTTTTTTAACCACTTGGTTGTGGGCAGTCCTTCTATAAGTCTGGAGTGATAACTTGCATTATCCATTACTATTACACAGTTCTTAGGAAGAAGATCTATCATTTGTTCGAACCATTCTTGAAAGACATCAGCGTTCATGTCTTTATGGTAGTCACCGGTACGAGTTGATTCAAAAGTTAATAAACCACCTTCAACAAAACCGTCTGAACTGCCAATGTGTACTATTATCAGCCTGCGTCCCTTTCCTGATGGTGGGTTTAAACCAGTAGATAAGTTATTTACAAAAGCGTGCCTTTGACTTGTAACAGTTTCATCCTGCCAAAATTTATTTGGTGTATGACCCTCGTTGATCCATGTTTCATCAAGATAAAATATTTTTCTTTTTTGGTTTCTCATTTCCTTTATGGTTCTTAGAAAATGTCTTCTCCATATGACAATATCGCTCCTTTCTAATAAAATAGACTTTCTGGGATTCTTTTTCCAGCGGAAGCCTATTTCTTTTAAAAGTTTCCATAACGTACTTCGACTCATTTCTGGGTAATCCTTATCATCTCGAACTGAGACAAGAACTTTATCCAATGTTGGAAATTCTTGTCTAAAAAAGAATTCATGCACTTTCCGTCGAAGTCCTTCTTTAAAATGATATTCTATTTGAAATTTTGGTTTCCCTGGAGCATTACGTGGCATTTGAAAACTACCACATTTCTCTTCTTTAATAACTCTGTAAATCGTAGATTTCCCAACACCAAGTGTACTGCTAACTAACTAAACGGTCTCATCAACACTTTCACATAAACGTTTGTCTGTAAATGATTTAAAACAATTAAATATTAATGTTTTTTCATTAACTGTTAAAGGACCAATTTTTCGGCGTTTACACGGCACTTCCAAATTTTCCATAACACTAGTATACACAATAAACTGCACCTTGCAACTGAAGCACCTACTTTTAGTGAACTGTTAAGAATTTTGAATACGCCACTTGGACCTTCCTACAAAATGGAAAAACCCACTATCACATTTTCTGTGGAATAAGTTTAGAAGGTAATTATCTAGTCAATTACTGTCGTAGATTCCTGGAATTAAAGAATTAAATGTTTGATTGTTGAAACCCTTACTTCGTGGAATGCACTCATTTCAGATAAAATAAAACGTTTTATTTTATCTAAAGAATTAAACTTTATTTTGCAAATAGGTAGGTACTTATTAAACTTTTATTGGTTATATATAACCAATAAAATAAACATCTTACATTTCTTGCAAATTCATTAGTACCTGTTAACCTCCATCACTCCGACACTTACAACCTTATTTAGGGATTAGTAACCCTCACAACTATTGTATTCTATTCTGCTCCAACCTTTATACCTGGTGGTCATAATAAATTTAAAATTGTTTTCCTATATACTTCTGTAAACTTGTTGACAAACATCTGTTATTCATTGAGTCACCCGTATCAACAGTTTAGGGATTTGCATACATAATTTATTGTTTTATTACTCTCTCATACATAAAAATACACTATAGTAGACGGCTAATCCTTCCAACACCGGACCAAACCAAATCAGATGGCAAAGATCAAGCCACAACGGTTCTTCTCAGACCCAACACTGACAGTAGCGAACACAAATATCGAGGGCATCACTACAGCCAAACAAGACATCTTATCAGAATTCTGCAAGAACACGAAATGTGAGGTATTGTGAGACCAAAAGTTTCTGGTCTGAAACTGATTGCGGAGATACCACAAAATAAGCATGGGAGCGCGATATTTGTGAGAACTCAAACCATAGTGGAAACAACAAATGTACACGGTATAGAGATAATAACCACTGAAATCGAAAAATGCACAATAACCTCGGTGTACAAGCCCCCAAACGAGCCTTTTATATTTTCACCCCCAACTAATTTTCAATCACAAGCCAATCAGCTTGTACTGGGAGACTTTAACAGTCAGTTTACTCTGGGGCTATGCAGATTCGGACGCAAATGGAGACGCCGTAGAAGCATGGGCCGAAACGAATGGAGCCAGGAACTCAGGTTCAATCCCTATTTTAAGACAAGACGAACTCACCCTTGAGATACTGAGCTAGGCAAGGTATAGACGATAAGCTCCCATGGTTGATTGAGGTATTATTTTTACAATAGTACTTCAATTCTCTTTGGTAATCTTATCGTTACAATTTTTATAATGTAATAATAATAAAACTTTAAGGATCTTTGAAATGTAGAACACAATGTCGTTTTGCAACGCCCAATTTCATAATTATTATAACTTCATTTCACAGATGGCACTTTGTTTCTCGTCTTCGTCGTAACTGTGTATACACGAAATAATTCACAGAAAATTGAAGAACAAGACAAGAAACGATACAATCATCACAACCCAATCAGTCTTTCTAGTCGTATTTTTAATGCTATTATTAGTAAAACTATATTTTTATTCATGGAATTGTGATTTTTTATATTTTTATTGATAAAAGTCTTGTACAACGTATCCATTATATTTTAAACAGTGACATTCAATCCATTTACTTATCAGATGGCAACTCTTACTTTCTAAAATAAAGAACATATGAAATTCGTTGTGAATCTACGCGATTCCAGCGAAATTGCAAATACGCGTCTATTAACCGTCTGACCTTTAAAATAGTTTGCAATAATTATTACCATTTGTTAGAGAATCTAACTGTAAACTACCTGTTTTTGAAATAAAAATGAATAGCCACATGCATCAAGAGATTATATACATTTCTAACGGTGAATTCCTTCAAGTTTTTAATTTATATTATGTTTTATTCGTTGCAGTCTAGAGTTTAGAATTATTTTTGATATATTTTTTTGGGGGCGATATTATTAAAGTCTATTTGGTGAACTTACACGGATTTCGTATTAATTAAATAAGCAAAGATTCAACTGACCAACTAAAAACAATATTTATGTTGATGCTTTCGATGGGTAGCGGTAATTGACAACTAAAAACTACTAGAAAATAGACTGATTTAAATTTCATTACTACGTAATTGGTGACACTCAACGCGAAAAAATTTTAATAACCGTCAAATTTATTAAAAAAAAAACAAAAGAGTAGAAAAATAGTTCAATTTTAAGAAACGATTAAATTCACATTTATCCCACAATAATGCCCGTATCACATACGTTTTTACATGAAAAAACCAGGGCGGATCTTTAGAGGGAGAAACGACTACATTTGGATGTGAGAGAGAATTTATTTTTCCTACCTCTCAAATAGGTTGGGAACATTAATAAAAAGAAATTAAAATATATAAAAAAGACCAAAAACATCGTTTTTTGTACTTTTCTCGCTTATAACGTTAAAACAGTTCTTTTTGGAGCAAAGTCAAAATAAAATTAAATAGCGATAAATGAATTTCCTATTAAAATACGATTGATTAAAAATTTAATTTATTACCCTTGATGCAAAATAGCAATAAATACAAAAAAAAAAGAATTCTTATTGAATATTTTTGCCATTTAGGATCTTCATAAATCGCCTAGAAAATATTTATAATATAATAAA